CACCACAGCCTTGACCTGCTAGGCTCCGGTGATCCTTCCACCTCAGCCTTCCAAGTAGCTGGAACTACAGGCGCATGCTACCATGCCCAGCTAATTTTTTGATTTATTGTCTAGATGAGGTCTCGCCATGTTGCCCAGGCGGGTCTCGAACCCGCAGGCTCAGGCAATCCACTCACCTCAGCCTCCCAAAGTGCGGGATTACAGGCTGAGCCACTGAGCCCAACTGAACTCTTATTATATAGGTGTTGCCTAATTGTATTATTGTCCTCCAGGTTCATAAAACTTTTTAAATTTGTTTCTGGAATTTGCTCTTTGTTGTTCTGTAAATTCTATTTATCTGTCTTCAAGTTCTCTGATTCTATCCTCTGTTGACTCCATTATACTGTCAAACCCTTAAAGTGAGCTCATTATTTTAGTTATCTTATTTTTCAGTTATATATTTTGAATTTGTTCTTTATCATAACTTCTACTTCTTTGCTAGATTTTTCTTTTTTTTTCATTTGCTTCAAGAAAATTTAAAATTACTTATTTGAGCCTTTTTAAATGACTGCTTTAAAATTCTTTTTAGATAATTCTAACATCTGATACCGCTCAATGTTGGCATCTGTTGATTGTCTTTTCTCAATTTTTCTGGTTAATGATATGACAGACAATTTTTTATAATTTCCGGAACATTTTGCCCATTATGTTAGGAGAGTTTGGGTCCTGTTTCCATTTTCTCTTTTTCACCAAGCAGCCCTTTTATTGACATGTCATTCAAGGGATGGGTATATTTGTATGTTTAGCTTCCCACTGGACCTTATCTATATCACCCCAGCAAAAGTGGAGCACTTACTCAAACTGCCTCAATGCACATGGGTGATGTAGAAGCTCTGCTCCCTCCCCCTTAAGCCCCACTGACTCATTCCTCATGAAAATGAGACACTGCATTGCACCACTTTATTGTCTCTAAGTAAGAATGTAGACTCAGCTTCTATCTGAACCTTGGGCCCCCTAGATCAAGGGGAAATGGAAGAATGACTCATACTTCTTAGTTGCTGCAGGGGGGGGGAAGAATTTTTGCTTCCTGTTGTGTCCCACTGACACAAGGGGAGGGAGGAAGCAGTATGTCAACTGTTCTGTCTCATACCAATTCATTCAGCCTTTTTGATGCAGGGTTGGTATGAAGGCTTATCTTTCTACTGGACTCTGCTGACATAAAGCTCATGAGAGAAGGGGACAGAGTTCTGACTAACCTTGCTTTGCCTTGCCTCATTTCACTCCTGGTTTTGCTGGCAGATGTGTAGGTCAAGCTTCCCACTGAGCCCTGCTGATCCCAGGGGTGGTAGGCAGTGGAGTCCTTACTAGCCCCAACTTTCATCACCTTGTTCAGTCTTAATGATGCTGGGTAGGTATAAAGATTTGGCTCCCCACTGGGTCCCACTGACACCAGAGGCAAGGGGTGAAGCCTAATGGTGACAAGCTCTGCGTTACTCTGCCTCATTAAGCTTGTTGCTGGGTGGGGATTTAGGTTCAGTTTGTCATTGGATCCCACTGATCTTACAGTGGAGAATTGGAACACTACCTGCTTCTTCCAAGCAGGGAATTGATGATTACCTTCCCACTGAGCCACCATGTCAGATATCACTGCCCCAGCAGAAGAATCACAGCACTGTCTGGCTCTGTTGGCCAGGGGATCAAAAATCAGCTAGCCACTCAGCCCTTTTGAAACTTCTTGGCAGGGTAATTGGAGCTTCACATGGTTCTGCCCAATGGGGGATGCCCACTCATGTAGACACTCCTCAGACATATGAAGGGATCACTTTGACTAAGAGCTGAGGGGAGAGAGTCCTATCCACTTATCCACATACACCCAGAAAGGAACTTCCATGATACTGACCTGGGATGGAAGGGAAAAGAGGCAGCAGGTTGTGGCACAGACTTTGGCTGTTCCTTCTGTGATTTAGTAGATTTCTTAACAAATCATTGCATTCTATATTTCCTTAGGGTAATTTCAAGAGATTTTGAATGGTTGTTTTTTTCTTTTTGTTTTTTAGAATGAGATGTAGGTCTTTATTATTTTTTATTATTACTACAAAGATGTGAAGTACAATTTGGGGTTAGTTATACAAACGCTGATTATGCAGGTATCCTTCTTGATAAGGTATGCCCCTCCCTCATCTAGCAGTTTCCCTCAACTGCCAATCCAACCCCCCTCCCCTGACAGTTTCCCACTACTACAAATCCCTTTCTTATAGTATTATAATAATTGTTCAAGGTCCGCTTATGAGTAAAAACGTATGGTACTCTATTCTTGGTTTCTGTGATAGATCACTGAGTATGATCGACTCTAAGTCCATCCAAGTTTCTGTGAAGTCCATATGTTTATCCTTCTTTATGGCTGCATAATATTCCATTGTGTATATGTACCACATTTTTAAAATCCAGTCCAACTTCAGTGGGCAACATGGTTGGTTCCATGTTTTTGCTATTGTGAATAGAGCTGCAAGAAACATACTGGTGCAGGTATCTTTTTTGTAGAATGCTTTGAGTTCCTCTGGGTATATTCCCAATGGGGGAATTGCTAGGTCATATAGAAGGTCAATTTCTAGTTCTTTCAGAAATCGCCACATTGTCTTCCAAAGAGGTTGCACTAGTTTATATTCACACCAGCAGAGTAGAAACGTTCCTCCAGCAGTTTTTGAAATTCGATAAAGTAGGGGATGGGGTGCTAGGATTTAGATTTAGATACTACTTGCAAATTACAATGTTCACTTATTGTGGTATGTGTTCCCTGAGACCCACTCCCCACCACCACTGTATATGAGATGCAAAGCAGAAACTAATGCAAAAAAGTATTGAACATACACACACACACACACACATACATACACACCCCAAAACAAACTGGAATAGCAACAATGTGTAACAAAATAAACAACAACAACAAAAAAAACCAAGAAAACTAAACATGCATACACATGCCTAGCGCAAAGTGAATAGAGGAGAATAACAGAAAGACTGGGGGGTAAAAAAAGAAAAAAAAATGGACTTCAGATCAAACCCTCACACATATATTGACACATACCTTAAACTAAAACATAAAAATAAAACAACCCCAGAAGAACAAAAGAGCAATAGCAAACCAACAACAACAACAAAATTGAAAGATGAACACTCAGTCATTCATATACACCCATAAACAGAAAAATGACAAATAAAAGAAGAATCAGGAAAAGAAAAAAAATTGGTTGGGGAGGATATAGATCAAACCCTAACATACACATTCATGCACAAAGGAAAAATATTTTAAAAATAGATGAGCTAACAAAGAATTTTTTTAATTTTTAAAAATTTTAAAAAAAGAAAAAGAAAAGTAAAAATAACCCTGCCCTCTTGTGGCAGGCTCTGTAATTGTTCCTCTAATTAGGTATCTCCTTCAGAGGCTCCTTTTTCACTCTCTCCTGTGTCTGGAGGAGGGAAGGAGGTGGGGCAGTGGAGGTGGGTGGGGCTTTAGTCCTCCCCTCCCACTCTTGTATGGTCAGAGAGATCTCCTCTGGTGGGGAGGTGCAGGATTGCCTCTTCCCCAGCTATATACTTGCAGGAGGTGCCCTGGAATGGAGTTCTATCCTGGAATGGAGGAGGCCTATCCTGGAATGGAGTTCTCCTATTGCGACTGACGTCCAGGCTCCACCTGGGTTTGTCCCTCTCAGTTGTAGTCCCTCTCAGTTGTGACCCAGCTTATGTGGGTCTGACATTCAGAGGATTGCTGGGGAGGAGGGGGTTCTGGGTCAGCCCTGGACTCACCACTGATCTCTTTGGAATCCTTCCTCATCCTTTTCTGGCCACACCCTTTGTCCCGCCCTGCAGCTGCATAAGGTAGAGGATGGGGTACCTGGAACTCAGCACTTGTCAGGTCCCTCTGAAGTTTGTGCTTTCAGGATATTCCCTCTGGGTCACGATCAATTCCTGAGTAGTTGATCCACCAGTCACAGAGATCAGGTCTGTTGCTCCATGGTGAGCAAGTTTGGAGCACTTTCCTGCCCCACCTTCAAGATGGTGGTGGGATGCCTCTCTTGTCCTCTTCCGTGATACTTTGCCTCTGGACTCCCCCCACAGCCCCTGCTGCCAGTGCCCTACCAGGCGCTCAAGTGGTGAGGCAAAGCCTGGAGTTGGCAGTCTCTCCTGCCAATGGTGAGGGAGAGCCTGGGGTGATAGTCTCTCTCCATCGCTTTTCACAGGAAAACTTGTGTCCGTTTTCAAAAACGAAATGGCTCTCAGCTTCTGTGACCTGGGAAGAGCCAGGGACTAAGCAGAGAAGCTGCAGCACCAGCTATTGCACCAGGGGCCTGGCCACTTGCTCTTGAGCCTCCACTTAGACAGTCTCTCCCAGTATTTTCTTCCCAGGAAGGGTTTTGTTGATAAAAAAAAAGGAAAGAAAATGATGCTTGGTTTTTCATCCTGCAAATCACTAGGATCCAAGCCCAGCAGCTGTGGCATCAGCCGCTGCACCAGGAGAGCCTGGCCACTAGCTCCCGAACCCTCACTCAGTCAGCTACTCACACACCCACTCACTCACTAGCACCTATACAAAATTTTCCATACACTCACTCACATCGGGACTCGCATAGTCCAACTGGCTCAGCTGCCATCTTCCCGACCTCCTCCAGAATGTTTTTTTATTATAAAGATGTGGGTTACAATTCAGGGTTAGGTATACAAACACTGATTATGTAGGTACCCTGGTTGATGAGGTATGCCCCTCCCTCCCTTAGCAGTTTCCCTTAACTGCCAATCCCACCCCCCTCCCCTGACAGTTTCCCTGAATGGTTGTTTTTTAATCATCTTTACCAATTGTGGTTGTTTCGTTGGTGAGCAGGTATGATAAACTCCTCATGTGCTATCTTTTTTCTCAGAGTCCTCCTATGTTATTCATTTTAAAAATTCAATCATACTTATAAAAGTATGAGCATATAATCATCTTATAATTTTTATGTTTTAGTGCAATAGTAACTCCGGTGATGGCATATGGTCAACTGGTGTGTCTTATAAACAAATGGAGCCTTGAGCTAGAGGAGCAAGAGAAGTACTTTCTTCATCAGGCCACCCTGATCAATGCTTGGGACCGTATATTGATGGAAAATGGCGAAAAGGTACAAAGATATTCTCATTAATCTACCTATATTGTACAAGTATGTGCAGATGAACACAAGATAAAAGACCTGTAATTTATAGTTAATTTTCTATTCCAATATTAGTGAGCTGCTTCAAAATACTTTTCTTAGGTAATAAATATCCTTATTTAGGAAATATTTCATATTTAAAGTATATTTGAAAAAATCAATATTGGTCTAAAATATTAAATCCATTCAAATATTTATTTTATTATATTCATATTTCTTTTTATAGATTGCTACCTTACATGGAAAAGTGGAAAAAGTGAAACTGGATCAGAACAGGTAGACTTAGATCACCTAGCTTGAAAGAATACTTATCTTTTTGTTTTTGTTTTTCTTGTTGTAGTTTATTGACTTTTTTGTCACTCCAATTTTTTTCATCAGCCTTTCTGTTGACTTGTTTTATTCAGATTGGAAGAAGAATTGGATCTTCTCCTGGCCCAGCAGAAGGAACTAGAAGATCTGCTGATTCCTTTAGAGGAGTCTATGAAGTACCAGAATGAGCCTGTTTATCTGCAGTATGCAGAAGAGGAGCATGAGAAGATGTGAGTAACTGAATAAAGATTGAGGAATGGGGCAGGACTCCTATGAGAGCATTCCAAAAAAGAGGGAAAAAATAGAATTGGAAGCGAGGAAATAAACATTGGTAGAAAAGGACAGGTTTTTGTAGTTGACATTTATCAGCTTGTTTGACTAGTTTCCTTTACTTTTTCTGGATGCTTGAAAATGAAAAAAATTATTTTGGCAATTTTATTTTACAGAATTTTGTACACTGTTATTAACCTCAAGTTTATGCATGCTCACTGTAAAGTTTTCTATTTGTCAAGTTTGTTATTAAATTATAAATACAAACTTTGTGAGTGTGGTGTCATAGTATTGTGGGATATTTATGGTCTATTTATTTTGACTCTTTTAAATCTAATGCTCATGCAATTTCTTTAGTGATAAATCATTTGTTATTATAAAGACAATTTGTTAATCTGGGGACAAATTGCATAGCTTTCAAAATGGAGCAATTTTATCAGTGTCCTGTACATATATTTTATGTACTAGTCAATCTTTACTCTCTGTCAAAACATTACCAGTGTCTCACAGTAACTATTTCTATGGAACTGAGATTTGGTAATCACCCAATCTATAAAGTATTAGGAGAATTTGTATGAGTATGCTACATAATATAGATTGAAACTAAATCAGGCTTATTATTAATGGCTTTATGTGTTAAGACTGAGCTTATTTTTAAAAGACTTGCAAGTTAACTTTTTTGTAGGGCCATTAAATGAGGTAAGTACAACCAATCTGTACTAACCCTAGATCTGTTTCTGCTTTTGTGTTTCAGCCTGTGTGAATTTTTCTTTTCTTTGAATTACTTTTTATGCACTCTATCATTTTTGAAACAGACAGTTACATTTTTGATCAATAGATTCTAGCTGTAGTTTGAAGAAATCCTCAAAACATTAGTTCCTTTCCAGTTACTTTTTTTGTAGCCAGATTTATATTGTGATAAAATCTTCACCAGAATCTTTGACAATCTAGGCAACCAATAACCTACAAGTACTATAGCACAGAAAGGCAGTAGATGGTTGCGAATAAATCTAGTTCAATCTTTATACACATTAAGATTGAAAAATTCTCTGGCCACTTTCATATAAACATATTTTTGACTAGGTTAAATGTGTGTGTCTGTATGTGTGTACACGTTTAAATAGTTTGAGTTAAAATCTTGAGAGTTTAGGCAATTAATCAGTTTGTTGTGAACTTAGTAGATTTGTCTACCTTTGATTATTGTGAAGCTCATTTCTCAAAACATCTTTTGCTGCCTGGTGGAGTATATTTATTTAAGGTTTTATTTTGAAAATTTACATATTCCAGATCATTGAAGATGTCCCAGTGTTTATTGAATATTGCTAAATGCTAAATAACTTCTCTTTTAGATCAAAATGTACTACGCGAGTGTTTTGACAGGTAAAAAGAGTTTTGCTCGAGAAATCCCCAGAGCATTAGCCAGAGGGTAAATAGGTGAGGGTGAAAATGGCAAGGTAGATAAAAGCCTTCACTTTTGGAATCTTTTAAAAATATGGTAATAATAAGGTCATGAATACTGCATCCATGAAAATGTGCCATTGGTCATAACTGAGACTCATTGAGAAGGTAGGGGGATTGGGGCAAATTCAATTGGCAGTATCAGCTTTGTACGTCAATAGCAATAGATAGTGAAGAAAACATTTTTGTTAATCCCTTTTTTTAATCTGCCTTTTCAGTTACAAATTAGCGGAAAATATAGATGCTCAGCTGATACAAATGGCCCAAGATCTCAAGGATATTATTGATCAACTGAATACATTTGGAGGTCCTGCCATCACTACTGACTCGGTGTGTTTACTGCTTTATGTGTTTGGACAACCAAGATTTAGTATGAAATTAGCATTTGATGGTTCCTTTAGCTAGTCACCTTTTCCTGTCCTCTGTAGTGTTCCTTATCTGCCTCTAGAGACATGAAACTTCTTGGGTGTGGATAGTGGAGCAAGAAAACATTTAGAGGCAGTGAGATTTTTGTGGTTATTCCCAGGAGAGTGAAAAAAAAATGACTCTTCCTGAACTTGTCAGGGTTTTCTTCTTTGTTCTTCTCATAGCTAAGTATATCCCTGCATTTATTTTTTGTTCACTTACTCATTAGCTAGTTCATTCTTTTTTTTACATATTTATTTGCTTACTCATATAAGTGTTAGTAGATATGTTTGAATCTGTTAGACATATCGGGGCAATTTTAAATTTATGATTAGGTTATATTTTTAAAATTTGGTGGGTTAACTATTTGAGACTTAACACAGTTTTCTATAGGAACTGTTAAATATGGTTATTAGGTTTCTACCTGCCCCCATACAATACTACTTAGCTCATAATGTAAATACATTATATCATTGGAAAATACAGCTGAGGCTCCAATTAGAGTGGGGATGCCATGAATTAATTTGGCTGTAGAAAGAATTGGTTTTCTCCTTTTTCTATACTCTAATTAAAGAGCTTATTTCCTGTACCTTTCCCTATTGTTTTAGCAGCTAAACGGAGTCCTCTTTTTCCCTCTTATTCCATGGCAGCAATGGTAAGAGGAATCTCCCGTTGTAGGAGCTCCCATTGTGTTTTCTATCAGTTAATCATAATTAGGAGCGGGGCCAGGATCTGTGTAGGTGAAAATGAATGACATATATCTAAGAGGTGATTATTCTTGAGTAAGCTCTTTGTCCAATTATGTACAGACAGTTCTTTATCTGCATACATAATACCAGTTTTTTTTAATTATAAAGAGACAATGTGTTATAGCTGAGAAAGCATTAAAATTTTGTTTTAGTCATTTAATCTCTTTGGGTCTTGAGTCCTTCTTTTAAAAAATGTCAAGGATAGACTAAATGATCTTTAAGTCCCTTCCAGCTATGAAAATTACACCATTCTCCAGTGATGTTAAAGAGAAAATACAAACGTACATATTGGAAAACTCTTTACATAATAAATAACTGACTGTTGTGTGGGGAAAAAAAAGAAAAAAAATTACACTGTTCTCTAAATCTAAAGTTGAACAAAGACAAATATAAATTAGTTTGGAATTATCCATACTACCATCTCCCATGTTCAAACAGATGATCAAGGGTGAACAAAATACAGACTTTCTTGTAATGAAATATTAAATTACCATTGTAGTTCCAAAATTCAAAATTTTGATGCATAGATAACTATATGCAAATTTAGACATGAAGCAGAGCTCATGTCTAGTTTCTTTGTGTTGAATTAATGTAAAAGGAGTGCTCTCAACCAAGTAAGTAAAAGAGTGTAAATTTTTTTTATTATGAGGATGTGGGGTACAATTCAGGGTTAGGTATACAAACATTGATTATGCAGGTATCCTTGTTGATGAGGTATGCCCCTCCCTCCTCTAGCAGTTTCCCTCAACTGCCAATCCCACCCCACCTCCCCTGACAATTTCCCATTAACGCCAAATGCTTTCTTATAGTATTATAATTGTTCAAGGTCCGCTTATGAGTGAGAACATATGGTACTCTGTTCTTTGTTTCTGTGATAGATCACCAAGTATGATCAACTCCAAATCCATCCACATTGCTGCAAGGTCCATGTTTGTCCTTCTTTATGGCTGCATAATATTCCATTGTGTATATGTACCACATTTTCTTTATCCAGTCCAGCTTCGATGGACAACATGGTTGGTTCCACCTTTTTGCTATTGTGAATACAGCTGCAACAAACATATGTGTGCAGGTTTCTTTCTTGTAGAATGACTTGAGTTCCTTCAGGTATATTACCAATAGGGGAATTGCTGGGTCATATGGAAGGTCAATTTCTGGTTCTTTCAGAAATTGTCACACTGTCTTCCAAAGCCGTCGCACTAGTTTGCATTCCCACCAGCAGTGTAGAAGTGTTTCTTTTTTTCCACATCCTCGCCAGCATCTGTTGTTGTTTGTTTTATTAATGATGGCCATTCTTACTGGGGTTAGGTGGTATCTCAATGTGCTTTTGATTTGTATTTCATCTGATTCATGTGTCTGTTGACTTTCCGTATATCCTCTTCTGAGACGTGTATATTCGTGTCTTTTGCCTACTTTTTAAAGGGGCTGTTTGTTTTTTTCCTTTTGGCACGTTTGAGTTCTTTATAAGATCCTAGATGTTAGGCCTTTGTCAGATATACAGTTGGCAAATATTTTCTCCCATTCTTTGGACTGTCCCCCTGCTCTCTTGATGGTTTCTTTTGCTTTGCAGAAGCTCGTTAGTTTGATGTGATCCCACTTGCCTATCTTATTTCTTAAGGTATTGCCTTCAGGGTTCTGAGTAGGAATTGGTTGCCAGTTCCAACTTCCATAGGGGTGTCTCCTGCATTTTCTAAAATTCTTGTAGTTTGAGGTTTTACATTTAGGTCTTTGATCCATTTAGAGTTAATTTTTGTGCGTGGTGATAGGTAGGGGTCCTATTTCAATCTTCTGCATGTGGTCAGCCAGTTTTCCCAGCATAATTTACAGAATAGTTTCTCCTCTCCCCAGTGGCTGTTGTTGGAGGCTTTGTCAAAGATGAGTTGGTTGAAGAATTGAGGCTTTGTTTCTGGAATCTCTATCCTGTTCCATTGGTCTATGTGCCTGTTCTTGTACCAATACCAGGCTGTTTTGATTACTGTAGCTTT